CCCCTGCGACCTTGCAGGGACCCTCCATCGGGGCCCTAGCGCGTTCCAGGAACCTTCCGGGAACCCCCGAGGGTGCTACTTCAGCCCCTGGAACCTTCAAGAGTCTTCTGTGCGCCGATGGAGCCTTCCAATGACCATGCAGAGGGCTCCAGAACCTTCCAAGGACCCTCCGGGGGAACCCTCCGGGGCCCCCTGGAACCTTCCAGGTTGCCTGCGAGGGGCCGCGGTACCTTTTGCCAGGAGACCTTAGGGCCCCCTGGAACATTTCAGGCAAGGGCCGTCGGGGGGGACCCTGGAACCTTCCAGGCAGACTCTGGTGAGCCCATAAGACCTTCCCTGGAACCTTCCATGGATCTTCTGGGGCCCCGTGAAACCTCCAGGCATCCTTCAGGGGCTCCTGGAACCTTCGACGAAGCAGCAGCAGCAGTGGTAAAACATTGAACCCGGCGCGACCCGACTTGGGGAGACAACTTCCTACTTCATGGGGGCTGTGCTCGGTATTGATTTGCATTGCTTAGCATTGCTGCGCATTGCCTTGGCATTGCTTTGCGTTGCTCTGCATTGCTTGGCACTGCTTCGCATTGGTTTCAAGTGTTTGGCGTTGCTTGGTATTGCTAGGCAGGAGGACGCCCAGGCCAAGGAACTCGGGGAAGGCCGAAAATAACCAAGACCAAGGAACACGAGAAAGGCAGCAAGGCACCAAGACCAAGGACACCGAGGAAGGCAGCAAGGAACCAAGGCCAAGGAATGAGAGGAAGGCAGCAAGGAACCAAGACCAAGTCATCCGAGGAAGGCAGCAAAGAACCACGACCAAGGAACCCGAGGAAGGCCGAACGCCGCCTCTGGGGAGCTACGTCGCACCCGCCGGTTTACAAGAAACCCTTAGACCAAGCCTGATTGGTGCATCAGCAGCAGTCAGGTGAGATGATGGAACGTGGGAAGGAATAGGACGATGAGGAGGAGAAGCGAGAAGACAGCTACGACCCCGACGACGGCGACATGGACCCTCCTACTATCTCCCAGGCTGCGTACTGGCCGTAACTTCGAAGCGGATCGAAACGTGGCGAACTGAAGCCTCCTGGAGGCCCTGGCCGGGCGATAGAAACGATTCCCCTGACCTATCTCGTCGAGCATCGACCCAAAGCGGCGGCGGATAGTGGCGAGGCCGGCTTCGGCGGTATTAGCCCTTCCTGCCCCCCCTCCTTTTCCTCCTCCTCCACCTCCCCCTCCCCTCCCCCTCATCGTCGTTCTTTTTCTTTTGCCTCCGCGACGGCTGCGGCCAGCTCCACCGCCCAGCCACCGCAGGCCCATCTACGATCTAAGAATTTGATCCGAACTTCTCATTGACATGACAAACGTTCCACGAAGCCTCCTAGGACCGGGAAACCTCCAGGGGGCCCTGGAACCTTCCAGGAGCCCGCCAGGGACCAGGGACCTTCGAGGATCCCTGTGGGGGCCGACTGGGACTTTTCAGGAACTTTCCATGGAACCCTTGAACCTTCCGGGGGCGCCTGGAATATTCCGTGGCCCCTCCACGGACAGCTGGGACCTTCCAGGACCTTTCCAGCGGCGCCCCTGGAAACCTTCCAGGGGCACTCCAGGATCCCCTGGAACCTTCCAGAGACACATCTGGATCGCGCTGGGCCCTCTGCATGACCCCCAGGCCAACTGGAACTGCCGAGGCCCCGTCTGGAGCCCTCCCAACTTTTATGCTGTTGCGGCGAGCAGTGGTTTCACGTTACAACCTACTAGTGTGTTCGATAGATTCGATCGCGCTACAGCTTTCCTTCTCCTCCTCGTCATGGTCCTCCTCCTTTTCCTCCTCATCCTCCTCCGTCATCCATTTCCTCTCCTCCTCCTCCTCCTCCTGCACCTCTTCGTCCCGCCCTCCTCCTCCTCATGCTCCCGCCTCTTACTCCTCCACTTCCCCTTCCTCTTCTTCATCGTGGCCTCCTGGAGCTGGGCCCGGTTTGTCCCGCCACGATCTTATGCTTCAGCAAGCCTGGCAGCTCTCGGCGCTGGGCCCATATAAAACTCCAGGGCACGCGTGGCTTCCCTCAGAGAGGCGACACGTGAGAGGTGCGACACGAGTGTCCGACCCATTCCACTCCCCCCCGCGGTCGAAGGGCACTGAGCAGGGCGCGCTGGGCGGCGCCAGGTGGGGCTCTGGCGCGGGAGCGGCGGCCCGGGAGGATGCCGCCAGGGCGTCCTGCGGCCCCCCCCGCCCACTCAGGTTCCGACGGAAGGAAGAAGAGGGACAGAGATTGAGGGGGGAGCAACGTTACCTGCCAGATAATGTACTGTGGCACATTGCCGCACAATTTTGATGTTTGTGCAGCTGACGCAGGCCATCACGCCGCTCGCACAAGTGGGTGTCGCACCACGGGGCGGAGGAGAGGATGCGAGGAAACGCGTGGAACTTTTGTAGGCACCTGCATACCGCCTCATGCCGGAACAGAGAAGCCTAGGATAGCCGAGAGCGACTGGCGAACAGCACCGCAAGGACCTGGGAGATGCTACACAGCGGACGCCCCTCGGGACGTGCCAGGAGCGCGGCAGGCCCGGCCCGTCGACCGTCGACCCCCCCCCCCGGCGAAGCCGCCGCCCTCAGCCGCTGCCCACCACCAGCTGCTCGGCCAGCGCTGGCGGCGGGAGGGGGTCGCGCCACACCCACGGCCTGGCTGACGATGGGGAGGCGCCCGCGGGCGGCGGCTGCCACCCGCCGAAGCTCGCGGTGCCGTGAGGGATCGAGCCAGGCGTCGAGATGCCGGGCGTCGGGAGGAACTCCTGCAGCGGGCTGGCCTGGGACCCGGCGCCCGCTTCCGACCGCCCGCCCGGCCCTGGCTGCGCCGCCAGGGTGGCCAGCCCTGGGAACGGCGACAGGGCGCGGCGCGCGGCCGCGACGGCGGCGATCTCCTCGGGGCCAAAGCGCACTCTCTGCTGGCGTGCCATGCCGCAGTGCTCCTCTTCGCTGTCCTCGTCTTGGCTCAGGGCGGCGATCAGCTGCTTCTTGGTGACGAATCCCCTAATCCTTCTGTCCTCCCTCCTATTCGCAGCTGGCGCGACACCGCGAGACTCGTTGGCGCTCTCTGGGAGGCCGCACGCCGCGACCATCGCGGCGCAACGCGCCCGGTGTGCCACCAGCTGCGTGCCGCCCTCTTGCGCCTGCAGCCGTGCCAGGTCCTCCCATATCATGCCAACCTCCACCAGCAGGCCCCGGCCGAGCTCCTTGTGGGCCCGCTCGAATTCCCTCATGAGCTCGACGCTCTCGCGCATCAGCTGGCGAAGCTCCTGGTACCCCTCGAGGGCCACGGGCGGCGCCACGGGCGTCGCCATAGCAGCGGCGCGCAGCTCCGCAACCTCCGACGAGAGCCGGTCCAGGCGGCCGCCGACCGCAGCGCAGTCGCCGTCGCGGGCGGTCTGGAGCCAGGTGAGCTGAGCGCGGCTCTCCGTCTGCTGGCCGCCGACCTGCTGCACGACACCTCGCAAGGACTCCACCAGCTCTCGAACGCGGTCGGAGAGCCCGGAGTGAGCGCGCCGCTCCGCGCTCGCAGCCAGCGCCTTTGTCTTCTGCTCCAGCTCCTCCTGGAGCTGCTGCAGGGCCTCCTGCAGGCGAGCGTCCACCTCGTCGCACCGCCTGCCGGATCTCCGCACGTCCGCGCCCATGGAGCTGAGGGCCTCGCTGACCGAGGCGTTCATCTCGGACAGGCGCCTGTCCAGCGACGTGAGGACGTCGTCCTTCAGGCACTGCAGGTCGCTGCCCATCCGGGCCTCCAGCAGCTCGACGCGCAGCGCCAGCCCGGGCGCCGGCTCTGGCGCGACGGCCCGCGCCTCCGCGCGGGCCTCCGCGCGGGCCTCCGGCGCCCCCGCGCGAGAGGCCGGCCGAGGGGGCGGGGCGCCGAGGGCGCCCGCGCGCCACGGCGGGGCGGCGGCGCCCAGCGGCGACGAGGCGGAACTCGGGGCGGCGGCGATGCCGTCTGGCGGGGCCGCCCGTCCCTCCGCCGCCCGTGGGGGCGGCAGCGCGGCCCGCAGGGGCTCCATCGCCCGTCGGGAGGCCCGGGCCTGAGCCACCGACGGATCCCTGAGGGAGGCGGGGGAGGCGGAGGTGGAGGAGGATCGAGGCGGCTCGAGGGCCCAAGGCCCTACGCCGTAGTCGGCCGAGGGAGCGCGGCTCGTCATCCCCGCCGTCGTCTTTGCTGGTCCCTTCTTCCCCTCGTCTTCCCTCCCTCCTCCCTCCCTCCTCCTTCCCCCCACGCCGTCGTTCTCTCTCCACCCACGCCGTCCCCCACATCCTCCTGTTTCCCTCCCTCTTTCCGCCCATCTCCTGGGGGAGTGTCGTTCCTTGTCGTCGTCGCCGTACTCCTGCTGCTGCTGCTGTTCCTCCTCCCTCTCCTCCCTCCAAGGGTACCACGTGACATACCCATCACGTCCAGAAGCGTCCAGCATTCGTTCTTCTACTCTACTTGGACAGCCACTGACTACGATCGTTGCTTCCAAACCGATGTTGCGTGCGGGGGATCGCAGACTCCAGAAACTTTTCCTGCTCCATCTCCTCATCCATTTCCTCCTCCTCTTCCTCCTCCTCCTCCTCCTCCTCCCCCTCCTCTTCCTCCTCTTCCCTCCCCCCTCCTCTCGAACACATCAAAAACTACACTTAGCAAAACTCCACCCAGTTGCGGGGACCAGGGGGGGCAATCAAAATTCGGTTAGGCGCGCTGGTCGGTCTGGGTGGACGGGCACCGCCTCGCGACCTACGACGGGGAGCGCTGGTCATGCGAAACACGTGGGGCGCCAAGCGTTGCAACTATCAGCATGTTTCACGGCGGGGCTAAGCGGCTGCTGCAACAGGAAATGATAACGCGAGCTGCCGCTTCATCCGTGGAGGGGGGATCCAGCACGGAAAAGAATTCGAAGGCGTGGGGCGTCTGGCCAGGCATTTACTTACGGCACGCATAGAACCGATCGCGGCTACAAAACTTGGCGAGACACGGGGATGAGGTGGAAGTGGAAGGACATAATGAAAGAGGCTGCTAAGGCACGGAGACACGAGACGAGGGAGGAGATCACGCCTGAGGCAAAGCGGCGCCCCAAAGCACAGAAAACACTGGGGTCATCATACTGGGGCAGAGGCGGGGAAGGGCAGCGGGCAGTGCGAGGCGGAAAAGGACAGCGGCCATGCAGGTGGTTTCGCTGAGCCTGAGGAAGTGGGAAGTCGGCGGGGAGCGGCCCTGGGGACGGGCCTCGGAGATGGGCAGCACGGGCAGCCGATGCTTCGCCAGAAGGGGACACGTACAAAACTACACTTAGCGGCCGGGGCACGGTACACGTCGGGAGCGCGAGTCGCGCCCCCGACATGTACCCCGCCCCGCTGGCTAGGTGTAGTTATATGAGTGCTCTGTTTTGCGAGGATGTCCCTGGCGAAACCAGCACGTACAGAACTACACCTAGCGCCTGGCTCAGTGTAGTTCTGAACGTGCTGGATGTCTCGAGCGGGGCGAGCACGTATAGACCGGCACCTAGCGAAAGTGGCAGGGTACAGGTCGGGGGCGTCGCCGCGCCTCCCCGCAGAGTCAGGGGGGCAGGGGCCACTGAAATCCCAGCCGCCCTCAGGGCGGCGGAGGCTGGACGTCCCAGGGATGCCCGAAAGGGACCCAACTGCGGCCAAGGGCACGCAACGAGGTCCCTGGGGGCCCCAAGAGCGCTCCACGACCTCCAGCCGCAATCTGAGGTCGTAGCGTCTTGGGGGTCGCCTGGAGCGCTTGGCGGGGTCTTGGATTCTTCCTGGGGCGCTCGGGAGGTCCCAGGAGCGCACCTGCTCGCCACGACATCTGGTCTCGATCTGGAGGTCGTGGCGTCTGGGGGCCCCGTGGGGCGTTTTGGGGGCACTGGGGGTTCCTCCTGTAGCCCATCATGGGTCCCACGAGCGCTGGTGGTCGCTACGACCTCTGACCTTGTTCTGGATCCCTCCATCCTCTTTGCCCCCCCCGTGATCAGGGCAACTCGCCTTGTGACGATGTTTCGAGGATTTTAAAAGATGTGCGCGCTCCGCCTCCGCCTCCTAATCGCGAGTTGTTATTTCTGATTCCACGCCGACTCTGGCTAGCGACGTCGAGGCCCTCGCAAATCCGACAAACGCGATGACCCCCCTCGAATGGCGGGCAAAACAAACTTTGGAACGATAGCCCAAAATTAATTTTGAAATTTCGGGATCCGCGAGAGAAACTAATCCACTCGCCCAAAGTGTAGCTCTCTATCTGTCCGATCCTCTCCTCCTGCTCCATTCTCATCTTCCCTCCCCCCTTCGTCCTCTCTGGAAGCATGCGACAACAGCCTAACAACATCCGAGAGCCTCTGACAAATCTTCCAGAGACCTCCAGCCACCCATCGCCTGGGCGCGCGGCGCGCGCTGCTCGTTGTCGTCGTCGTTGTCGTCGTCGTCGCCGACGCCGCCGCCGCCGTCCTCCTCAGATTTCAGCGTCTTGTCGCCCACGACGCCACGGCTGGATCCGCCTCGAGATCCTGGTCAGAAAACGCTCCGGGGACTCCTGGGGATGTCCAATTCGACCGTGAGGGAGGATCGCGCGCTCTCACGTCTCAGCTGAGCCAGCTAAATTTTCCCTTTGTGCCCGTGCCTCGATCAGCAACCATACTGGTATGTGTTTGTTTAAGTTCTAGCTGCCGTGGGCGCCTGGGTATAACGAGGAAAAATGACGAAGTCTGGATCATCCAACACATCGACGTGGCGATGGCCTTTCAGATCCATCGTAGGGCCCTTGTCGATGCTCCATGGTTTCGCTCACAAGCCCGTGAATCCGCCGACCCTGTCGGCGTGTGTGAGGGGCTTCTCCGTTCGACTCGTCGTCTCCGTCGTCTCCGTTCTCCCTCTCCCAGGGCTCTCCTCCTCAAGCGCGCTATCCAAAGCGAAATTAAACGACGTCGTAGTGGAGTCGGAGGGAAGCCCCTTCCCTTTGATCCCTTCCCCGCAGGGGGGGGGGGGAGGGGAGGGGGAGGGGGGGGGGGGGGGGGGGGGGGGGGCCGGGGCAGATACGACGCCCGCCGGGGCGCACTTTCCTCGAGCGGGCACGCACGGGATGCACTTCCTCCTCCTCCTGGTCCTCCTCCTCCTCCTTTTCCTCCTCCTCCTCCTCCTGCTCCTCTCCTCCTTCCTCCTCCTCCTCCTCCTCCTCCTCCTCCTCCTCCTCCTCCTCCTACTCCTCCCGCAGAGGCGTCCCGGGAGCGGGCCCCGAGTCAAAATACCACCCCCCTGGGGCGCATTTCCTCGAGCGGGAACGCCCGAGATGCACTTCTTCCTCTTCCGGGAGCACGTCCCAAGTCAGAATATCACACTCCCGGGGCGCACTTTCTTCGAGCGGGCACACAAAGGATGCACTTCCTCCTCCCCCTCCTCCTCCTCCTCCTCCGCCTCCTTCTCCTCTTCCTCCTCCTCCTCCTCCTCCCTCCTCCTCCTCCTGCTCCTCCTCCTCCTCCTCCTCCTCCTCCTCCTCCTGCTCCTCCTCCTTCTCCTCCTCCTCCTCCTCCTCCTCATCCTCCGCTTCCTCCCCCCACTCCTAGCTTCCTAGCCCTTTCGATCAGGGTCGGCGGCACCGGCCGTCAGGCCTCTCCAATATACTTCCGCGGAAAAGTTGAAGGCCGTAGACTTTGCCAAACAGCCACGAACGCCGTAGGGAATGAGTTTGTTCTCGCGATCGAAGGATCCACTAGGTGCACTCTTGTGACCTGTTGGACGGTGTGAGGCGAAGGTGTAGCAGGGCGTATGCCAATACAACACACAACAACAATATGCACGAATCGGAGTAGTGCAAACGCGGAGGTACGAGATGGGTAAATGGTGAGGATATGCGAGTGATAAGAAGACTCTCCCAGGAACACTGCTGAGCTGCTGAAGACGAACAGCTGAGATGCTAGAATTCGCCAAACAGATTATGCATGCCAGCGGGCGTGGACTACTACGATCAGAGGGCCCTCCTGGCCCTTCTTTGTGACCTTTTGGAAGGGAAGGGGGCGAGGGGGTAGATGGACCATGAGGCGGAAACAGACGAAGGTCGATTTTTTAGGATAATGGCGAATGACAATGCGAAGGGACAGTGGCGAGCGTGAGTGAGGGATGGGTGAGGAGAAGCAGGACGAGGAACAGGAATGATAGTGTCGAAGCCGACTACGGTGAGTCACCACCGCCCCCTGCCTTTGGAAGGAGCTCGCAAAATTTCGTGAAAACGCAGCACGCGTGGCCGATTCGGGACCTCTCGGGGTCCTCCTGGAGCTCTCTTGGTGCCCTCTTGGGCGGTCCTGGGGCCCGCTCGAGACGCTTTGGGCCCCTATTGGGCAAGCTTGGAGCCAACTGGCGACTCGTCGCGGGGCCGTCGGGGCTTGGGCCGACGTGCAAGCTCGTAAGACAAAACATGACGCTGTTAACTTGAAGCGCATAGTGCATATTGGCTTCTCGGGGGCATCCTGGACCGTCTTGGAACTGCCTGGTCGCCGAGCGTTGCCTGGCTTCGCCGCGAGAGAGGACCTCGGCCGAAAGACAACGGGGCACAACCTCTGGAAGCCCACCCGAGAACTTTCGAAGACCTGCGGAGCCAAAACGAAAACAACCATGACTCCACATCCGATCCATCTCTCCCAACACCTCGTTCTTCTCCCTCCTGGGGTCTCGCCGGACGCTTTGAGAAGCCCCGCCCTCGAACCCCTTCAACCCTCCCTCCACTTCTCCTCCTCCTCCATTACCCTGCCCCCTCCTCCTCCATCTCATCCCTTCGCTCCTCCTCCTCCTCCTCCTCTTCCTCCTCCTGCTCCTCCTCCTCCTTCAAACATCGACCCCCAGACCTGCCCAATTTCTCTTCCAATCTCCTCGGTGTCACGGAGCCAGTGCGACGTTTGAGGGCTGCGGGCTTAATCTGGATGTGTGCCCCCAAAGAAAAGGAAGGGAAGGGAAGGGAAGGATTGATTCTCGACCTTTCTGTTCAAACAAATCCCCACCACTCCTGGAGAGGTATGTGCGACGCCAGGGGAGGGGCGGCCCGTTCACCAATTTCCCCACCGTTGGAAGAGGTGCGAAGCCCCTGCTGGATCCGCGCTCCCAGGGCAACGATCCCCCGTAAATCACGCTGCGCCCGCGCTCTGGACGGCACGGGTGGGCACTGAACGGCACCATAGGTCTACGCTTTCGAACGACCAAGGGTGAGCACCAGACGCCTGGCGCCACCAACTGGAGGTATACAATATGTCCTCCACCCCGTAGGGCTTTCTTGCGAACCGCATGACGTTCTTCCACTTTGCACTTCAAACTCTCTCCAGCCGTGGCGACGAGAAGCCTTCCGGAAGCCTAAAAAGGACGCTCAACTTCCAGCATCCTCGATCCTCGTACCTCGGTCCTTGATGCTCCCTCGTCCCCCATACCTTTCCAGGGTAAATACAACTTCTCCCTGTCGCACCCCCAGGCGTGATGGTAGGGCGGGCTGGGCGTGTCGCCTGGGATTTCCTCAACATTTCTGACCCTGAAGCTTGAAATGTCTGCAGCAGCTTCACGGAGGGCGGGCGGGTGGTTTTCCTCACGTAGCCCTCGCATTAGCGCCGCGCACATTCGTCTTAAATGTTCGCAGCAATTTCTCGGAAGGAGGGCGGGTCGTTCTGAAATTGTGTCCCTCGCCTTGGCGCCGCGCACATTCTCGATTTTGACAATTTGCAACAGCTTCACGGATGGAGGGCAGGCCGTAATTTCAAAGTATGGCTCTCGCCTCGGCTACGCGCACATTCGTTGTAAAAGTTCGCAGAAGTTTTAAGGATGGAGGGCGGTTCCTTTTCAACATGTTGCTCTCCCCTCAGCGCCACGCACTTTCGCATTAACAGTTTGCAGCAGTTTCAAGGGTTCGTATGGTCGACGTCCCATGAAGTGCCGTCTGGCACGATTTAGCATCGTCAGGACGCAACAGTCACGTTGATTCGCGGTGTTGAAATCCCAAGAGCGGTGTTCTGGCAGTAACTAGAATTTGCCAGGGCGCAGAAGTCAAATTGATTCGCGGCGCTGGAATCCGATGAACGGTGGTTTGGCACGATTGAGGGCTCTCATACGGCTGTCTGTTCATGGGCTACTTCCCTCGAATTGGGTGTATTGCATCATCGTTGACGTAACAATTGGGCCTTAAGTTGTCTCAAACGGTTGTCTTCTAGTTTACGGGCGCAGCCCGTAATTTGATTTTCGCGAAATAGACAGAACTGACAGAACTGAGCTGAATCACCACAACCGTTTGGTGGCAGTTTTATTTTCGGGGGTGAGGGTATATCAATCGCAGTTTTGAGTCAAGGGGTGTGAGGGTATTTCGCTGGCAGTTTTAAGTCAGGGGGTTGAGGATATCTCGCTGGCAGTGTTAGGTCAGGGGGTGAAGATACTTCGCTGGCAGTTTCAGGCCAGAGGGTGAGGACATGTCGCTGGCAATGTTAAGCGAGGCGTGTGAAGATATGTCGCTGGCAGTTTTAAGTCAGGAAGTTGAGGATATCTCGCTGGAAGTTTGAGACCAGGGGTATGGATATGTCGCTGGCAATTTTAAGCGAGGGGTGTGAGGATATTTCGTTGGAAGTTTTAGGCCAGGGTGTGATGATATTTCGCTGGCAAGTTTAAGCGAGGGGTGTGAGGATATCTCGCTGGCAAGTTTTAGTCAAGGGGTTGATGATATCTCGCTGGCAATTTTAGGCCAGGGGGTGAGGATCTTCCGCTAACAATTTTAAGCGAGGGGTGTGAGGATAGTTCGCTGGCAGTTTTAGGCCAGGGGGTGAGGATATGTCGCTGGCGGTGTAAAGCGACGGGTGTGAGGACATTTCGCTGGCAGTTTTAGGTCAGGGGGTTGAGGATATCTCGCTGGCAGTTTTAGGCCAGGGGGTGAAGATATTTCGCTGGCAGTGTTAAGCGAGGGGTGTGAGGATATTTCGCTGACAGTTTTAAGTCAGGGGGTTGAGGATATCTCGCTGGTAGTTTTACGCCAGGGGGTGAGGATATTTCGCTGGCAGTGTTAAGCGAGGGGTGTGAGGATATTTCGCTGGCAGTTTTAGGCCAGGGGGTGAGGATATTTCGCTGGCAGTGTAAAGCGAGGGGTGTGAGGATATTTCGCTGACAGTTTTAAGTCAGGGGGTTGAGGATATCTCGCTGGTAGTTTTACGCCAGGGGGTGAGGATATTTCGCTGGCAGTGTTAAGCGAGGGGTGTGAGGATATTTCGCTGGCAGTTTTAGGCCAGGGGGTTGAGGATATCTCGCTGGCAGTTTTAGGCCAGGGAGTGAGGATATGTTGCTGGCAGTTTTAGGCCAGGGGGTGAAGAGATTTCGCTGGCAGTTTTAAGCGAAGGGTGTGAGGATATTTTGCTGGCAGTTTTGAGCCAGGGCTGTGGAGGATACTCTCCAGACGTAAGAAAGCAGCACTATGTGCCACGCACGGGCGGTCAGGAGTGATCAGCGGATTCGTTGGTCTGGGGCTCGGGGCGCATTATGCAGCCACAGCGTTGGAATCTGAATAGTGGGCTGAGGCTCAAATCGTTGGTCTGGGGTTCAGGGCGCATCATGCAGCCACAGCGTTGGAATATGGATCACGTTCGACATTGGATGCAGTATTGGGTCTTCCCCTGCGTGGCTCAACCGAATGCATCGCATCCAGCGCGGCGCTGCGCCCGTATATGTGCCCGCCCCTTGGCGTGGGGCTGGCGGGGGACCAAGGGGCGAGCTGTCCGGTGATTGGGGTTATTGCAACATCGTTGATGCAATCGTCTAGTGTCTCAAACGGTTGTCTTCGAATTGGGCTTATTGCAACATCGTTGATGCGTTTTTGGTTTGCACTGGTCCTCCTCCTCCTCCTCCTCCTCCTCCTCATCATCATCATCCTCGTCTTCGTCCTCGCCTGCTGCTGCCGCTGACCCCCTCGCCAGGCCGAGCCTGCCTCCCCCGCGCCAGCCTCATCGCACCCTCCCCCATCCCCCCCCCCTCGCACGCCATTGCGAGGCTGACCAGCGACACGACTGCAACGTCGGTGGTCAGGATGCGGGGCCCGAGGGACACCTCCGTGCACGGCTTGAAAGGTGGGGAGGGGGAGAAAGACGACGAACAGGACCGAATATCTGTGTTTCCAATCGTTTGTTATTCTTTTCGGGCTGGGGCGCTGGAGGCCTCCATGGATCTCGCGGCTTCTGCGGAGAGTTCGGAGGACCTCCGGGGCACAATTAGAAGGTGGAAAAAAACACAGGAGGGAAGATGGAGGAGTGGAGGAAGAGGTGGGCGTTTGGCCCAGGAGAAGGGGGGGGAAACGACGCAGCTCATCTCTCTCTCTCTCTCTCTCTCTCTGCGTGGTTCGCGTACTCAACAAAGAACTGGAAGCTCCAGCCTCATATGTCACGGAAAGCGCGTGCTTGCACATTCATGCACAACTCCTGACGGGCTCGAGGGGGAGTAAGAGAGAACCCTGGGCCCTGGGCTCTGCTCTATCATCTCTGGGGGCCTCTTGATAACCCAGTATCACTTGTACATGAACTAATGGGCATGATGGTAATAGAGCTACTTAACGTCGGCAGAGTTGCTCATATCAAAGGTGCTCGCGCCTCGTTGAACTAAGGCCATGCTGGCTGCTGGCTGACAATTAAACCCAAGTCCTGAAGTGTGAGCATCCCGCCTACGCTTGGAAGGGCAACGACAGTGCTTCTGCTGTAAATGTATGTCTATATATGTAATCACATATGGTTATATATACACACAAATAAGTGTGTATATATATATATATGTACACATCCGCCGGCCCCCTAGCGGGGCCATCAGGCTGCGAGGATTAGGCTTGCTACTCTCCCTGCTCCAGTTCCAATTTCCAGTGCCCATTGTGATAATTCTACGTTCTGCCTCCAAATGTAAATTGTTGAAGTCCGCGCGAGGGGGGGGAACCGAAAAGCAGCCTGGTTAGCGTCCCCCCTCGGGGTTCCCAGAATCCCTGGGGGGGGCGCGGGACACGTACAAATACATGAGAATCGCGCCCTGAAGCTATCAACCCTTGTAAAATACGCCACTTTCACATTCTCGAAACCATAAACCGTTGTAAAATATGAGATTCTCGCACCCCCGAAACAAAAGCCTTTTGCACATTATATAGTAACCGCGTCCCCGAGGCCACGAACCCTCGTAAATTATACAATGGTCGCGTCACCGATGCCATACCAATTTCGTGAAGTACACAATGTTCGCGCCCCCGAGGCCACATACCCTAGTCACGTACGCAATTGCTGTGTCCCAGAGGCAACACACCCTCGCGCATTACGCAACATTCGCGTCCCCGAAACCGTACACCCTCGCACATGACATCAGATTCGCATTACAGATGCCATGCTCCAAGACGCCCGAAGAAGGTTCCAAGACGGCCTGAGAGGGGCCAAAGAGACCCCAAGAGCGCTCCAAGAGCCCTCCCCAGGAGCCCTAAGATGCCCAGATCGTAAACTTTACGAAGGTGTTTGAAGGATGTTGGCCTTCTCGCATGTTCGGCTTTCCGACGCTTCAAGACGGCTCAAGAAGCTCCCAAGACCGCTGCAAGACAGCCCAAGATGCCTCCAAGAGGGCCCCAAGATGGCCCAAGAAGGTTCCCAAGATGGCACAAGAAGCGCTCAAGACGGCCCAAGAGGGCCCCAAGACAGCCCCAAGAGGGACCCAAGCAGGGGACCACGAACCGAACATTCGATCTGTGTGCCCCGAGAAGCCCCCAGGAGGCCCCAAGAGGGAGCCGGAAAGCTAAGAAGGACATCCACGGCTCATTTCCCTCAAGCCCTATCTGCTTCATGGCGAGCAGGGCCTGCGAACGACTGCTTGCCACTGAACAAGCGATGCGATCCTGCCCTACCAGACAGGAGCGCCTCCGAGCTCCCGTCAAAAGCCGTCTCGCCCTCCCGCGGCGGCGGCCTGTTCAAAGCCCCGCGACCGAAGCAGTTCCAGCTCGTAGTCGACCCAGCCGCCCTCTGGCCCGACCGCCAGCAGCACCCTGGGCAGCCCCACTCTCGCCCCTTCCTTGCTAGCAGCTCCAGAGGCAGAGGGGGAAGACGTTTCCCATTCATCGCATCCGCCAGGCGATGATGATGCTGATGCTGATGCTGCTGCTGCTGCTGCTGCTGATGATGATGATGATGATGATGATGATGATGATGATGCTGATGCTGATGCTGATGCTGATGCTGATGCTGATGCTGATGCTGATGCTGATGCTGATGATGCTGATGATGACGACGATGACACCGCTCCAAGAACTGCAAATCGCCAGACCAGTGTTACTTCCTATCCCTCCCTCTGCTGGTGGCCCGCAAGGGAAGGGGGGCGGCCTTCTAAGGTTGGGAGGCGTCCTGGAAGGCAATGGCCTTCTCAGAAGCGCCTGGATGCTTCGAAGAAGGCGTCTTAGAAGCCGGGGAGGGCTTCTGGGAGGCCCCCTGCCACCTGCCTTCTCAGAAGCCCCCCCCGCCCTCTCAGAAGGCCGCCCCCCTGGCGCTCCGCCCCCCCTGCCCCCCTGTACGCACCGCCGAGACACTCCCCGCCCTCCCCCCTCACCTCGAGAGGGAGGCCGAACGCCGCCGCTCCTCTGCACGCAAGAATGACCCTGGGCACGAGTGACCTTTGGCGCCCGGCTTTGCGGGGTCGCTGGGAGGGGGGCCAACTCCAAGCGCGCAAGCCACGTGCCAAGGGGGGGGGACCCCTGTGGACCTTGGGCGCTGCTTCGTGGAGGGACGAACGGGGTGGCGAAGAAGCGTGCACCCTCCGTGCCCCTTGTTGGCCCCCCTAAGGTGCACGAGAGCTGCACCTTTCTTCCCCACCCCACCCTACGCAACGCCCGATAGGCCCGCACCCGAGGCCACTCCGGCGAAGGGTCACTCTTCTGCGTGGCAGAGCCGCCCCGCCCGTTCCCCGCCGCCCCTCCCTCGCGGGGGCGGCCCCGTCCGGCGGGGCGGCCCCGGCGCGGCGGGTCGCGCTGCGGCGACGGCCTCGCGGCGGCGCCGCCCAGTCCCAGAGGATGAGCGAGGAGGAAAGGGGAAGAAGGCGAGGGGTGGGAGAAGTCCTCCTTGCCTTTCTTCTTCATCTCTCCGCCCTCCTCCTCCATTCTCCTTCTTCTCCTCCTCATCTCACCTCCTCCCTCCTGCATTCCCGCCCTCCTCCTCTTCATCCTTCCTCCCTTCTCGATCCTCCCTTCCATCCCCCTCTTCGTCCTCTCTTCTCCCCGGGGACCCTCTCCTTCCCCCTTCTCCTTTGTCCCTTGTCCCACCTCCATCTTCCTCCCTCCCCCCATCAACATAATCCTTCATCTCCCTCCTAAAATTTCTGCTTTTCCGAAGGCTTCCGCACTTTTAGCTGCAATCGTTTTGCACACATGTTACCGTACACCACTCCTAAACATCATACGCTTGGTTTGGCATGGTGGTATGTCCTCTTAGATGTACGGTTGCTGGCCACCTGCAGCCTTTCCTTTGACAACCGCCCTACATCTACCCTAGTCTCGCGGCCTAGTAGTTTGGACACAGTTTCAACTTTAGCTTAAACGTTCGGCGTATGGTTTTCGCCATGGTGTTCGCTTTATTCTGCTGGATCTTCATCCTCACTCCACTGCAATAGTTAATCATCTGTGTTTTTGCGGGAGATCGCGGCACAACACGGCGAACATCAGCCTGGAGTCGGCCTCAGTCGTATGGATTTCGATGGGAGGCTTGCTTTCTGTCAGCCCCCCAGGCCCGGAACGGCCCCCTGGACGGCGTTCAACCTCGAAAGCCCGCGCTGACATCGCCGCCGCGTCGAGGCGACGCTAACCTGCCGTACTCACAATCTTGGCGGCACAGCGGGACACCATCAGGCCAAGTGGCACTGCAGGACGCCACAGCGAAAGCCCCTGGCGACGCCACAGCGGGACACCTCGAGACGTACTGCAAGGAACTGAGGCTTGGGCTTTGGAGCTAGCCTCAACTTTCGCTTTGTCGTTTAAGCTTTGCGTTTCCGTTACCTTTAACTTCAACCTAACTTGAACTATGGTTATACGTCGAACTTTTGCATCCGGTGTCTGTTCGAATCTGTTGCTTTAACATCTCAACACGCAACTTGGATAACACAACTTCGAACTTGACCTTGCACTATTAGCGACACCTCTCCAGTCCCTGGACCTCTCCCGGGTTGCGTTCTACGCAGGACTCGGCGATGAATCCAACCATAGCGACGAAGGCCCGAAGGAGGCCTTACAAATTCGAACACGATGGAATGGTATTGGTTAATGGCCCGCTCCAGACACCCAGAACAATAAGACAAACAATTATTTTGGCAGATGTCTTTTGATTCCGCTGGCCCCCGTCGGCCTTCCGCCAACGCCCGCGGACCCGCCGCCGTTTTACTTCCGCCGGTCTTGCGCTGAAGAAGAAACTCAGTCTCTTGATCTATCGCAGCCAAGGCCCTTTCTGGAGCCTCCCATCTGCTCCTGCCCCTGCACTACCAAGCATTACTCAAAATCACCGCAACCGTCAAGAATGCTGCCCACGTCGGTTCACAGTGGGGCACACACGAGGCACCCAGGAACACAACCCTGCCACCCGACGGGACACACCGACGGGACACACCTAAGACCACCGCGCAGCGTCCCCACCGGAGGAGTGCACGTCACTCTCGGGAGTCCCTAAGGCGGTGGCAACCCTTCGCACGGTTTCGGGTGCGCACCCGCACGACACGCAACACGAAACCACAGAATCGTTCAATCACGATCGCGCACGATCCGCGACATATTCTGTGCAGGTGGCGTCCGACAACCTTCGCACAACCAATTCTCATTATAGTTTGGTTTCGCTTCTCTGTCACCGCAACGGCACCGCGACAACACGACATGTTCGCATTGGCTCTGGATTTAGATATACTGTGCAGCTTAAATTGAAGGGCTAGCTGTCTTCTGAAGCGTTCGAGTTAGACTGGGCATCACCGTCACCTTTTACCACTTCGAGCTGGCTGATCCGTTATATGCAGGCCGAGAGGTCTTCTCCTCAGCCCTACCTTCCAGACTCGAGCCCTCGTTCGCTTTACGGTCACGGACCCAGAAGGCATGTTGCCTTCGCTTCGGCTGGGGAGGTTACAAGATTTTGGAAGGACGTGCGGAAGCTGTCGGGGCTCGCTGTGACGTTCGATCTGGCTCATGTTGTGGTCGGAGTTGCGGGAGTTGGCGGGGCTCGCTGTGGCGTTCGAGCTGCCATGTGTTGTGGAAGGAGCCGCGGGACTTGGTCGGACCTGCTGTAACGTTCGTGCAGCCCGATGCCTGTGGATGATGTGCGGGGGTGGGCGGGGTCATCTGTGGCGCTCGAGCCTGCCGACGTTAATACCTGCTTGTCCTCCTGCTCCTCCTCACTCCTGATATGCATCCTCATCCTCGTATGCGCACCTACGTGGCCGAGGCCTAGTCGTCCCTCTCTTATTATGATTCCTCCTCCTTCCTCCTCCTCCATCTCCACCCCGTTGTCGATCTCTTCCGCGTCGTCTTCATGGATTCCTTCTTTCCCTCCATTTCCCGACTTTTTTTCGTCATCCTTCTCCTCCGCGCCATCCCTATCCTCTGTAACACGTGTGCGAAACTGTCGCCACAGCGTCCCTCCCATCTATGCGCATGGCGCCTTCCCAGGTCGGGGACTCCAAAGAAAGTATTAGACACATGAGGCTTCCAAGCCAGCTTAGACCCGGACGAAAGAGCAACTGGATCTACAGGGCACTCCCTCAAATCATGTAGTTTGATTGGGCCCATGCTTTGCCGTCCAAAGGGAGAAACTCCCGCCCGGGGGAACTACTCACGGTTGCCCATGGCTATACGTGTAGTGTTTACCTTGAGTTGTGGTGTCCTGTACTTGTACAGTTAGCGTCAACTCCAACCGTGGCCCAAGGATACATCTAGGCGTAAGCACGCTTTTCAGCTAAACATTGGCGCTGGCTCTGGCTGTCAGCTGCTGAACCGGGCCTGAGTTTCAACTTGTGCGTCAACTTTAGCTCGTGCGACCGATGCAATGACAAATACGATGCTGAGATACAATCGGGGCGCCATGGGGCCACCACACAGTACAGACCGAGACACATACAAGGTAAAACTCAACATCAACATGCACACACAACCAACACAACATCCAAACACCATCCAGATGCCATCAAACGGCCACCATCGGCGCACATCAATTAAGTTTGGGACCTATGCCTGGCCGCCCAATAAGAGCAACCACAAGACACGGCAACTCGCGCGCAACTTCGCACGCACGTCGGGCACAACATGAAGCACAAACTAGGTCATCGTGGACAACACCGTACACCCCCGCAACTTCGAAGACCATTCAACTGGTGCTGGAACGGAACTGCTTGCCGTGACGGCACATTGAAAGCCCCCCCCCAACACCCCGTGCCTCAAAGTTGGCGGACGACCGAAGAGAGTGCAAAGTGTGGCGAAACAAACGCTCACTCTTGCGATGTGCCAATGGCTTCCACTTCAACCTGGAACTGCGCGGGCAAGGGGGGCGCGTTTCGATGTTGGGTCACCCTGCGCCCGACATGGGTGTTCATCTAGCAACCATCGGTGTCTGCGGCAAGGGAACCAGAGAAAAGCATACAGCATTGAACAGCACTTGTGGCACGAGAGTAAGCCGCCACCACCCCGTCAGCCAGCACACCAACGGTCAGTTAAAACAGGAAGATCCATAACCATGGTGGACAAGGCAGGCGAGAACATCGTCGATCCAGCCCACCATGCAATCCAAGCAATGCCAAAACAATCGAGCATCCAAGTGCCAGATGAGGCAAACGTCAGATGCATCAAGCATGTCGGCATACCAACAACCCTAGTCCAAGTGGGAGGCCCTTATCACCAAATCCGCCGACACCCGCTTGCCAAGGATAGCAAGGCGTGCGATATGGTTGGCCGTCTCACTCCCCGCGGTTCCCATTCCCCTGAGGGCCAACATGCTGTCTGATGAGGGGGGGAGAGGGGGCGACGGACAAGCTCGCTAACGCATCTGCGAAATCCAACATGGGCTCAGGTGGCCCTAGCTGTCCTTCGGTGCGGCACCAAATAGTCCAAGCTGTACCCATATGGCCTCAAACAGGCATCGAACATGCCCCATGGGGGCGTGCAGATGGTTCCAAGTGTCACCTCACCCCCCCACCAAAGATGTCCTGGAGAGGCCGGGATCGCTCAAACGACACATGCTTGTCGGCTTTCTAATTCGCCTCGTTTCCTTCGATGGGCTTCCAGGGCCTCAGGATAGCCGAACAGAACCGCCGAACAGAACCACAGGAGGAGCCCCAAAGGACCTCAACAGCGTCTCAAGCCCTCGACAGCGCCCAAGGGAGTCCCAAGATGATTCCCAAACGCCGCCTTGCACGACAACGACGACTCACTCGTACCGGCTCTACGACCATCGGGCCCGCGCCGAACGGAACGACCGCAACTACTATGTTGAGGTAAACTGAAGTAGCCCCAGGTTGAGGTAACCTTAAACAGCATTACCCTGGCGAATTCCGTTGACTTCTCTCCTCTCCCGTGGGTCGGCTGAATGGCGGATGCCTCTAGGGTGAATCAAGGACCAGCCAGGCAGCAGCAGGGCAAGTCCTTGCACACCACGTAGGCGCGAGCACATAAGACAGACAAGGACCCCAAACAGTATGAGCATCACGCCAAGGCAACTGGAATCAACGTAACCTATGGCAAATTGAACGGCAACGAATCGGAGTCCGCCATCGTACCGCGAGGAGGCACAACGAATCGGAGTCCGCCATCGTCCTCAAGTCCCTTCGAGTGCATTGTGCTAAGTACTCTACACTGCTTCCAGGCCCCAATCCCCAGATTCCCACAATTCTTGGGCGTTTATTGGAGTCCACTGGATGCCTTTCCAGGGGCCTCGGCGACATTCTTCGGACGCCGGCCTGCCACCATGTTCTAAGATGGTCCCGTGGGGCCGTCCTGGGGCTGTGTGCGAGCATCTTGGGCCGC